ATTAAATCCCAACGTCTAAGATGGGCTGGTCATGTTCATAGACTCCCTAATAACCGCCTTACCAAGTTAATCTGGGAAGAAATCCCGACAGGGAGAAGGCCATTAGGACGTCCACGAACGCGATCGAGAGATAATATATGGTCAGATTTGAGAACAATGGGGCTACCCACTGACTTAAAAATCATGAACGACCGTTCGAGATGGAAGCAGGTTGTGCAGTCAGCCAAGACCCACCCCGGGTTGTAGTGCTACCAGAAGAAGAAGAATCCAGCCCCTTGCCATTCACTTATCCACGACCCTGTTCTCCAAATAAGCCCTGAGTAGCCGTTCGCAGACGTTTAGGTTTGTTTTGCTTACTCCATCTCTAGCCCCATAATTTCTGTCCCCAATTTTCAACCCTATATAATAATACCCTATGTGGTAGGCAAAACAATCGTTACAACAGTAGTGTTTGAACCGGCGCGGCGTATAATTATACGATTTGGGCATAATTTAGTTGTTGGGGCGTAATTTTTGCATCCTGGATAAAATTACCTGATATTGTATAATCTAGCAAAGCAAAAGAAAATAAACCATTGACAAGCCACAGTTTATAAAAAGGGTCCTTGTCTTCATTTTTCTTTTAAAACGCTTGTGCTTCTATTTTACATAGCATTCTTTGTAGAAAATAAAAATTACTTTATCGAAGAAAATTTCCATACCATGACAGCATTAAAAAACAAATTTATATCATGTAAAAATCGATCTTCGGCCACCTGAGCCATCTCCGTTGAGTTATTTATAATTAACACTCCAATACACGAGCGGTCTATCAGAACAGGTTTATGCTCAAAAGGCTATTTCTTTCATAAATAAATAATATACATATCTGTTTTTTTCAGTACCTTTCAGGCACCCAAAAAATGTCTTATCTAAATATTTTATAAAAATATATGCTTTTAATGTTGAAATATAGATTATTTTGACCTAATAGACCACCGCAGTGTGGTCATGTAACTTTTTAAATATGTACTTCCGGTTGACTAATTTATATTGGAATCAAACTGCCAAGGTAAGAGTTGACAGCCAGTACACTGAAAATATCAAAATATAGAGAGGAGTCCGCCAGGGTTGCGTGCACTACTTTTCAATGTCTACAGTGAAGCGGTATTTCAAGAAGCGCTCTCAGACTCAATAGAAGGTATATCTATCAATGGTGAAGTTTTGAATAACTTGCGTTTTGCAGACGATACAGTAATAATTACGGATAACAACAATGATTTACAGAACCTAATGCAACGCCTTAATGAACGCTGTCATGAGTACGGACTGAAGATAAATTTAAAGAAAACTAAATGCATGATCATGACTAAATCTGCACATGCAAATATCCAATTGACTATTGAAGATACTGCAATTGAGAATAATAATAACTATAAATACTTAGGAACATGGATAACATCAGATGTAGACCAAACCAAAGAAATTAAGACACATATTGAAATAGTATTGAAATGCCACGTACATCATTTATTAAACTTAAAAAGTTTCTTTGTTGTCGGGAATAAGGTTAGAACTACGCCTGAGAATGCTTCGATGTTACGTGTTCTCTACTCTTCTTTATGGTCTGGAAGCTTGGACACTAAAACAAGTTCATCTGGATAAATTGGCCGCCTTTGAATTTTGGTGTTACAGAAGAATCCTACGAATATCATGGATTCAAAGAATGTCAAACATGGAAGTAACTAGAAGGATAGGAAATGAGGCGGAAATAATATTAACTATTAAAACACGAAAACTTGAGTACTTAAGAACTTAAGGGAATGGTTTGAATGCAGTAATGCAGAACTTTTTAGAGCGGCAGTCAACAGAGTCCGCATAGCCATGATGATTTCCAACCTTCGATAGAAGATGGAACTTAAAGAAGAAGGTTGAGTTTACCGAAAGTACAAGCTAATTATAGGCGCAAATGTCAAACATGGAACAATAAATTTCGGTATAGCATTGTTGGCATGTTTTTATAATATAAAATGCTGTATGCTTCAAATATAAAAAGATAAAGCTTCAGAAAAGTAAATTTTGTTTATATTATGTTAAAAATTGTGCAATTTTTGATTTATATAAAACAAGAATGAGTAAGTATTTGTTTCTTTATAGATTAATTGCAGTTAATTATTAGAATTTTTTAAGCAATTACCCTTTGATATATTAGGGGATAGATTTGACAATCCTCAAATTAGTAGTTGCCAGATTGCAACAGATGTTTGCAATTAATCTCGAAAGAGACAAATATTTACTCGTTACTGTTTCATATAAATTAAAAATTGCAACTTTATAAAATAGTATAATCAAAATTTATTTTTTAAAATCTTTCTCTCTTTATATTTGAAGCATAACAACATATGCATTATAAAAATATCCCAACACTGCCAAAATTAAGTTAATTTTATCAAATATACTTTTACTCATCCCTAATAAAAAAGTGTTAAATTTTTTGTTTATGTATATTTATAATTTTTTCAAATAAAAGTGTAAAAATATCAAGATTTTCGTTGACGATGGCTCTATAGGGGATAGACTGATATCGCCCCAATACCCCACACCCAATATGTGGATGCCTCACCGAACATGCGAACATTTTTGTCACAACGTTCGTGCCAACGTTGGATCCCATGTGTGGAGCTGGCCTTATGTATGACAAAGCATTATATTGTGTCAGCCGAAAAATATTACATTAGGAGAATTGTTGGAGAAAATCAAAATGGACCCGTGATATGTTTAATTCTATAAATGTATGGGCAGTCTTGTAAGTTTGGAGGTCCGTATTTACCAATAGATTTTAACACTGCTAAGGAGTAAGACAATATTATAATATGGGCAAAATAAACTTTAGCTACATATAATAAAGCTTCGTATATTGCAATAGCCTCTTTTGCTATTGCCTCTTTGTAATTGGTCGTTATAGATAGAACAATATTTTTATTTAAATATATGAAAAACACTCTTAAATAATAAAGTAATAGATAAAGGTCCAATGTGGTGTACTCTGTAACCTGTAATACCTGAAATAAAGCATATATTGGAGAAACATAAAATGTAAATAAGAGTTTGGATATTATTATAAGCTAAGTTCATACACTACTGGAATAACAGATCTCAAAATTAGGCAGCCTAAAGGTCAATTCAGACACATCAGTCACGTCTCGTCACAGTGATTGCGCCTAAAGGTCGATTCACACACATCAGTCACGTCACAGTCACGGTACCGAATCGGTCCTGTTTGGTCACAGAACTATCAACTATCTGACAGCTGGCAAACTGTTCGTCAACTGATGAGTGTGAATGCCGGCGCCATATTTGTATTAAAGAATATTTTGTATGACGGATTGTTCGATTCGGCGCAATCACTGTGACGAGATGGTGACGAGACGTGACTGATGTGTCTGAATCGACCTTAATCGGACAATCCGTCATACAAAATATTCTTTAATACAAATATGGCGCCGGCATTCACACTCATCAGTTGACAAACAGTTTCCCAGCTGTCAGATTTCGACACGTCTATCGCCCGGCCGATTTTATATCTCAGCGACGAATTTTTTTGGTTTTGCCGGCAAAATGACGGGCGGTACAAGTGAACAAAATAAAATTAATGACGAAAAATTAATAGAATGTGTAAGAAAATATAATCTTTTATATGATTTTTCGCATGCAAAATACATGGACATTAATTTAAAAAATAATATTTGGCAGGAAATCGGAGACGAAATGAAAATACAAGGTAATGAACTTTTGTTATGAACTGTTTATTATTTTTATGTCACTTTTTATTATATATGTACATATAAAATATAATATTTACATAGATATTTATTTATAAATAATATTTTAATATATATATATATATATATATATATATATATATATATATATATATAATATATACATATTTATTTTTTTATTATATATATATATATATATATATATATATATATATATATATATATATATATATATATATACAATGTACATAATAAGGAAAACAACATAGTTTTTAAATTTTTTCAAGTTGCCACGGCAAAGATCCCCCTGGCGAAGTAAAATAATTTTTAAATGTGTCTCTTACTTCAAAAGCATTTAAGCATTTCCTGCTGCATTTCCACCTTGCAATGACAAATTTTGCAGTTTAGAGTTTGTTTCTACTTTTGGCTCATTTTTGTCATAACTGTACGTGTCAATACTATGTTATCTGCATTTTTTGGTGCTGCTTGAATTCGCCTGTTATAAATTCGAAATTTTTGAGATAAAATGCCAAATGTATTTTCAACAACTCTTCTGGCACGACAATGGCGGTAGTTGTAAACACGTTCTGCTATATTTGCTAAATCCTGACGTGGATAAGGTCGCAATAAATATGTTTTTAAAGGGAATGCTTCGTCTCCTACTATTACATATGGGGCTTCAACTTGTGTATTCGGTAGAGTTGTTTCGTGGTAGTTGTAATGTTCCTTGTCGACGTCTTTTGCCCAATGAAGAATTTGCTAAAATTCCGCCATTATTGTTCTTACCATATTCTCCGACGTCAACAACCAAAAAATTATAATTGGCGTCTACACGAGCTAACAAAACAATTGAAAATGATTTCTTGTACTTATAATAAAGTGATCCTGTATTTGGAGGTGCTTGAATAGTAATATGTTTGCCATTCAAGGCTCCCACACAGTTGGTGAAGTTCCAGTTTGTGTAGAAATCTTCAGCAATGGCTCTCCACCTCTCTTCAGTAGGTTCTGGTAGTGTTTCCGCTATTAAACTGTTGCATATAACTTTACATGTATCATGTACAATTTCCTGCACTGTACTATGTCCTAAGCGGAAACTAAAAGAGATTGTCAAGAAAGAGTCCCCAGTTGCCAAATACCTAAAAAGAAAAGAACTGTAGTACTGTTTTTTATGTAAAACTTTTATTCTATTATCAAACCATTTTTATGTTATCTGTCTTTTAACAAATTACATTTTTGTAGGTCAACTGTGTAAGACTAGATGGGCAAATATTAGAGACACATTTAGAAAGTGTTTCTGGCGATGAGAAGGAACACAATGTTTCTGCACCAAGCCAAGGGACAAATGATGAACGAAATGAAATAATAGAAGCAACCAAGAGTCAAAGAGAAGATTCGTCTGGTTCAATTCAAGGGACTGAAATACTACCAATACAAAAACACACTACTACATCAAAAAAAAGCAGAAGTAAAAGAAAAGTTACCTATTCTCAGCCTTCTGCTTCAGCAAAACTCATGGAGTATTTAATTAACAAACGTGGGGAGCAACTTACGGCACCACCAGATGCAGTTGACGCCTTCCTAGCTGGCATAACACCAGCCCCAAAGTTGCTTTCGGCTCTAAATTTTCATTTTGCGAAATCAGAAATATTTTCAGTTGTACAGAAATATGAGCTAAAGTCTCTTCAAGAACAAACCTATAATAATAATAATCAGCAAGAATCAAGTAGTACAACAGCACTTCCAATAGTATCGCCTGTATCCAGTTACCAATATCCTAATACATCAACAACCAATTCACCGATACAATCACCTATTTATATCCAATTGCAATCTCCACCGCCAATACAAACTATGGATGATGATGATACTACAAGCTCTTCTAATATTCAAGATTTGCAGGACTACTTTAGCAGCTTTTAATAAAATATGTATTCTATGTTTATATAATAAACGTGTATATTTTATGTATAAGGGTTATACTATTTGAGAAATGTTTTAGTTCTTATAAAACTTGTGTATATTTTTAGTTAATTTATTTTAGTATTAAATAAAGATTTAAGCGTTTTTCTTTAATCGTATAATGTGGATCCAGAATATTGATTAGAAAAAGTAAAACGTTTCAGAAATTCACCATTTTTGAAAAATCACGTTTTAAAATTAGAAAAATATAATATCTCATAAATTTATTTATTTCGTACGTACCAACAAACTTCAAGACGCTGCCTCGGTGAAAAAGCTCTTCTCCAGTGTGTGTTTTTTTTTTTCAATTCTTGTGAAATTTTTGAAAACAATACGTTAAAGCAATTTTGCGACATTCTAAAATATTGATGGAATTTTACATCATCATGAATCAGTTCTTTATAGAGTGTCACGTATTCACCTTCGATATCCCTTTTTTTCCATGCGTCATGGATCCATTTCCGTCTTTTTGCTTTTGCTTGTTCTTTTTCCTCGTCCAAACATATAGCAATTATCGCTAATTCGTCATCCGAGAAACTTTCCATGATTGGTTGCCGAAGACTGATACATTTCGGGTGTGTGCGAATAGACGCACGAATATTTCTGTGACCAGACGGGACCGGTTCGGTACCGTGACTGTGACGTGACTGATGTGTCTGAATCGACCTTAAGTAGCCTGATTTCGACGTAATGTAAATACGGACGTCACGTGCCGTAACAACATGGTGATCTGTAAAATTAAAAATATACAGTCAATTTTTTCTATTTACTTAGCACTGCCTCAATATACGGGTTAAACAAGAGTGGTGAAGGGAAAAATCTTTTGTGTTGAGATTAGGTTATGAGACTATTAATAACCCAGTTGAACCAAGGGGTATTGTTATTGACCTTCACAAGTCAATAAACACGTCGAGCAACGATTATACTAAAAAACACGTGGTGAGCGAATCTCGACATAGCATTGCGAAAGACACGGTTATTTTAATAAATATTACTTTAGTGTCTTTTATTATCAAATCAGTTACAAAACTAATGACACAAGGACCACATTATAGCTGTACCTACAACAACACATGGCGATCCTTCAAATAAAAAGTGATGAAAAGTAAATGGTAACGGGTGGGGCATAGCCTAGAAGGCAATCAGTAAAACAGAACTTCAAAAGAGGGATAGGGAGTGGTAACCTGTGTAAAGGACATGAGTAAGAATTTAGTTTATTTTACGAACACTTCCTTGTCGAACTGTTTTATTATCTTTTTTGTCATTATGGATCTGAATATAAGGTGTTAGTATTATTTTGTGGAATCCGTGGAACAACTGAAATACTTGTACAAAGACAATACACACATTTTACCAGTAACAAGGACACAAGCCAAAAGAGAAGCAAAAATAAAAGAGCAACAGGAAAAATTGCATCTAATAAAGTACAGACAGAAACGCACAAGTGAGAATACCTCAGCCATCTAAGATTTGCAGACGACATCGTTCTGATTGCTAATAATCCTGCAGAACTACAAAAAGTTATAAGCAACCTAAATGTAGCTAGCAATGAAGTTGGCTTAAAAATGAACTTGACAAAAACAAAAACCATGTACAACGAGCTAGTGCTAGTGGATGACCAAGATGTAATAATAAACAACACGCAATTGAGACAGTAGACGAGTATGTATGGCTGGGATAATTACATAATACATAAATCTGGCTCATTACTTCCAGAAATCAACAGAAGAATGAATCTCGCTTTGACATCTTTTAGTAGAAATGCAGTTATATTGAAATCGGAGATGCCAATCCACCTGAAGAAAAAAGCATATAATCAAGTGTACCTATACTAACAATTAAACCTTTAAAATGGCAGTGGGCGGGATATTTAGCAAGAAGAACTGACAATAGGTGGTTCACTAGAATTACACTGTGGCATCAAAGAGGCGTCAAGAGACCAAGAAGACGTTTAAATTGAAGATGGAACTATAATATAAGGAAACAAGCCGGTGCAACATGGTACAGAAAAGCGAATTTTAGACAATCGTGGGCAGATATGGAGAATGAATATGTAAGGGAGGCTACACTACAATCGGTAGAATATATATATATATATATATATATATATATATATATATATATATATATATATATATATATGTATATATATATATAAGGATCACTCAGACGAGTGGTGGGTTCTTATATCGGTCTCTAGGTGGAGAAATAAAAGACAAAGTTGATAGGCTACTTTATCTATTTTGAAGACGTTTCGCTTTCGAGTTTTGAAAGCATCATCAGTTCATCTAAAAAATTATTACAATATGAGAACCACACAATCATGGAAACGATGTTAATTGTTACCTTAAAAAGATATGTAGCAGTCAATGTTATTAACAAATATGTGAATGAAACTAAGTAAATGGACATAGTACGCTGATCTTGTATAAACAGTTAAGCAACTAACAACATATATGAACTTGTACAAAAATTAGCACAGCAATTGACCATGTGGTCCAAAATAAATTCAATGTTATTTATATTAATAAGTGAGAAAGAACCAAGAAAATCATAAATAACCTCCAACTATTTAATGGATATTAAACTTTGATTTTAACTTTAGGTAGCATTATAAGTAATATTAATAAAATTCTACAAAATAGTGAATATGAAGTTACCGATCAAAGCCTTGTGGATGTCGCCGTGAAAATGGCGTTAGATGAAACAGGAACGAACTAACCGCAAAAAGACAGCCAACCTTGAGGTCAAATTTACTTTTGACAGATCAACAAGGTGTAAATACCAACCCAGAATTTTGGGCGGTTAATTTAATTTTTATATTTTATAACTGAGTCTGGATGACTTCCAGGTTGTAAAGGACAACAACAGTGAAAAAAGTTGGTAGTGTACACACAACTCCCCTCACTAACCGGCCCAAATTTACAAACCGGAGATTTGCATTCAAACTCATAATAATGTGATGACGTTAATCATGTGGCAAGTTAAATAGTCAGGTGATTAACGATATTATAATCTCCATACAGCCCAAGGTTCACTATACTTGGAGCTGTGATTTGTAAAGGATTCTATGAATCAATTACAATGTTTGTATTATTTTATATATAATTTAAAACTCTAATCAAAGAATTTAGTATAATGAAATGCAATATGGGTTGCATATGTAATAGTAAAATTAAGTAAAGAAATTAAGTTATTTAATTGATATATTTATTTATTTTATTTCTATTTATGTATGTAAATTATTTTATGAAAAGTGGAAAAAAGTTCAAATAGTACACCTAATATGACATTAATGTAGTGAAAAGATTAAGTAGCCTAATTCTGCAATATTAAAGCATGATATATCTGGCTCAAGTTACTTATGTCAGTTCTCTTATTCAATGCATTAGGATGTTTTAATATTGAACACATTTCCAAAAACTGTCTTTTCGCTAGATTGCGTTCAGTGGCAAGAATCTTAACTTCATTAAAATCCACTTCATGTTTTGTATTTATCGCATGTTGTGCTAGAGCACAAGTGTGTTTCGATAAGTTAATGTCGCTACGATGTGAAGTGAGACGACCTTTCAATGATCTACCAGATTGCCCAATGTAACAAAGATCGCAATTAGCGCATGGAATTTTATAAATTGTGTTCACTTGTTCCAAAGTGGACAAGGGTGTTTTAGTTTTAGAGAACAAATTTCTAACAGTTTTTGCATTCTTAACAGCAATTTTAACAGGTATATTATTTTGTTTATACAATTTAATAAGCTTCTCAGTAACTTGAGGGAAATATGGTAAGGAAGAGTAATGCGTGATAGTATTCTCAAGATCGGTATTATGCAGAACAGTGCTATTTATAGAATTATTAGAGATGTTTATAAGTTGGTCACCATCGGGTATGTCATAAATTGAGGATCCATAACTATGTGAATAAAGGTATTTATTGATGATAGAGGAAGGATATGAATTCTCTATTAGAATATTTCTCAATAACTTAAAGGATTCCCTTCGATTAATTGGATGTGTCAATTTATTTAATCTAAAGCTTAAAGCTTTTATCAGGTTTAGTTTATATTTCATAGGATGACAGGAATGGTAGTTAAGGAACCTATTAGAGGCCATTGATTTTCTATACCAACTTGTGGTTAGAGTGTTATCTGCCATTCTGATGACACGCATGTCAAGGAAGGGTATACTATTGGTGGTAGTGTCCTCAAGTTCAACAGTGAACTTGGACATATGTATATGTATATATATATATATATATTTATATATATATATATATATATATATATATATTTATATATTTATATATATATATATATATATTTATATTTTATATATTTATATATATATATATATATATATATATATATATATATATATATATATATATATACATATTTATATATTTATATTATAAACTTTTTTATTCCTTGGGTTTGTCGGTCTGATGTTAATAAAACTATTTAAATTTTGCTTAAACGTTTCGGCAAATTTGCCATTTCCAATTAGCACTTAAACTAAACTTTAAACATTACATTTTACAACTAAATTTAGGGAGTGGTTAGGGTCGTATCTTAAATATCTGCCATAGTGCATTTAAAAAACAACTCAATTTAATAAATTATGACACATATTGGAATGATCTTTGATGTCAGCCTTATTATTAATGGAATTTGGATCTTTTTTCATGCAAATCATCTCCAAAATGCATCTTTTGTTGGAATTTTGTTATTTTCCCAAAATCTGTACATTTTCAAAATCAAAATAATGACTATTTTCTAGAGAATGTTTGTCTAGGGCTGTTGTGTTTAATGCATTGGTTTGTACATTAAGTTTGTGTGCAATAATTCTTCTGTGTAGGTATTGGTGTGTTTGTCCAATATATGTTGAATTGTAGTCTTTACAATTTATTTTATATATACAAATATATAAAATATTTTATATTTATTACTCACTACCTACTTGCTTATATCTACTACATTGTTTTAATACAAAAAGACATCATAAGACAAGAGCTTACTTTTTGATTAGACTAGTTCATAAATTAAGAGTGTTAACTGCGAGCATTTTGAACATTTGAAGTGATTTTTTAAAATTTATTATTCTCATTGGTCTTAGTAAATAAATTATTTAATAAATAAAAGCGATTTATTTCTCGTTTTAACATTTTTTTTTACCATAATTGCTAAGATTTAATTAAAAGTAACAAATTTTTTAAAAATCTGTATAAACATACAGAGTGTCCCATTTAAGTTAAATAAGTTTAAGGCATTTACGATGAAAGCGGAACTAAAAGTAGTAACAAAACAGAGAGTTTTTAGGCCCTTTACTTTTCGATGGACGTTAAACGTAAAACGTTATACTTGTCATGCGCCTTGAATAATAAATAAGGGATAACGTTTTTACTTAAAATAGGTTTTGAATCCTTTCGGAAATTAAGCTATGAAAGATTAACGTTAATTGACATTTGACGAACGTAACCTATAAAACGGCAGTTATACCACGTTATACTCTATAACCTATTTTATTTGAATTATTTGCTATAATGGAAGAAAATATTGAAAATATATTAAGACGACGAAGACACGAAAAAGTAATAGATCACAATTTGATAAGAGGCTTAATTCTTCACAATATATTTGATCCTATAATCCCTGTTGTACCACATTTTGTGTTGGAAACAATTGAACAGAAAGATGCTGAATTAAATTTTCTATACCTATTTTTTATTCTAGTTATCTTTGGTTCTGCTCATATGACTTTTTTTTGGTTTTTTATGATTTAGATATCTGGCATTTGACATTACAAACACGTAATCCCTTAAAAACGTTAACCTTATCTTTACCTAAATAAGGGAATACCTTATCCGCTAATAAAGTAATCCGTTATTTTGCGCATGAGCAGAATAACGTATAACGTTTAACGTTACTGAAATAAGGGGCTTAAAAACTCTCTAACAATTTGGCGTTAGATACGTTATATGTCACAGTACTTGCATACATATCGCCTTTTTTTTTCAAAGGTATTTACTTGTTTCGATACTTTATTTCAACTCTATATAGTTTTCGATTACTTATACCTAAGTAGTTGTTGACAGTTAGCAATAATAATACACTTAACTTACTTTAATTGACATGATATTATCTTCAAGAAATCTTTATGTAAACTTAATTAATGCAGTAGATAAATTCCTAGTTTTTAAACATCAACGCAATTATTGATTTATCGATTCTGATATCTATCCAAGTGTTTTGAAAAGTATAAAAGTAAAATTATTATGATTTTTAAGACATATTTTTGAGTATTTGTTACAAAGATTTTAAAGATCTAACAATATGTTATTTTTTACTGTGATATTCTTGACGGTAGCATCCACACTCGGTCAAATTCCAGTTGATCAGTGCCCAGAAGTATCGGTTGAACAAAACTTCAACGCTGCTGCAGTAAGTTTTGAAATTATTTAATTTGGTATTTTTATTTAACATTTACCATAGATAGTAGTACAAATATTGAAATAACAACATAAAAAGTGGCGTGCTCGCCATAACACATATGACTGTCGAAAACAAAATTAACCCACAACGTGTCACTGTTTGCGTGCGAATTTTGGGCTGGAGGCATTATTGGACTATACTTTATTGAAAATGAGGCTGATCAAGCAGTGACAGTTACTGGTGCTTATCATTGCAACATGATAAGATATTTCTTGCTTCCTAAATTAGATGATATTGATGTGGACGACAAGACGGTGCCACATGCCATATAGTATGTGAAACAATTGAATTACTTTTTCTGGATTAGATTAGATTTATTTTTATGGGGTTGATTGAAGTCAAATGTATATGCTAACCACCCGTGCATTGAAGGAGGAAATTTCCACGCTGCATCAACGAAATTCAGCGACATTTATGTAAAATGGTTATGGACAATTTCGACAAAAGATTGAGGATGTGCCAGCAAAGCCGTGGAGGCCATATTCCTGATGTGCTATTCCACATACTTTATGATTCAATACAAAAATTAAAATTAAAAAAAAAACAGTGTTTTCTTAAATTCAAATTTTTCGTAAATTTTGGGACACTTTTTATTAAGTGTTGATAATTGACTTTGTAAAATGATTTTCTAAAATCTACAAAGCACCAACACACATTCTTATTAACGTCTTTACACCGCTGTATAAGTACCTGGAGAGCGAAAACTGCTGCTCTAGTTTAAAATATTTTCCGAAAGCCAAAGTGCGATCTATCAATATTTGACTCGCATTTTGATCATGCATTCTTCTATGAATGATCTTGGTGAACGCTTCAGAAATATATCCAATTACTTATGTCGCGGATCTGAATCCTCGGGAATGAGGGAAGGTGGTACCGTCGCTCTATCCATAGCTTGAATGGACCGGAGTGGGTAAGAGTCACGGTCAGTGGCCATATAGATCGTATATTGACACTAAGCTAAATGGAAATACCTTTTTAAAGAAACACAGATAAATGTTTATTAAAACAAAGAAAAATAATGGTAATTTCAAAGTGTCAGATTTCGTCCAAAATGTTATAGGGACCTTTGTCGTAGTGACTTTGGGACGAATCAACAAAGACATTCAACAAAATATCAATCTATATAAAATTTAATTAACAATTTTCGATTCTCAAAAATTCCCTAAGTCGAAAAGACCTACAATGTGGGAAACATATTACAAGTTAATTTTATATCGAAATATTTCAAAGTAAATAAAATGTTAAAAATAATCTAAGTTATTTTTCCTGAAAGAGAATATAAAATATTAGAAATATTTTCGAAGTCCCTAAAGAGAAAATATTAGTAAAATTTGTTTAAGTTATTTTGGCCATCGTACACCCATATTTCATCATCATCATCATCTTGGTGCTACAGCCCTTAGAGGCCTCGACCTTCTCAAGCTTTCTACGCCATTCTGTTCTGTCCCTTGCTTGAATTTTCCAGTTGCCGACTCCGATCTTCTCCGCATCTTGTGTTACCCCATCCATCCACCTCAGCTTTGGTCTACCCCGTCGTCTCATTCCCACAGGTTGCGCTGTTAGAATCTTTTTTATCATGTTCGATTCAGGGGCCCGGGCTACATGTCCTGCCCACTGCAGGCGGTTTCGCTTAATTATAGTGGTAATATCTTTACCACCAAACGTATGCTTGTAGATATTCTGCAGTTCGAAGTTATATCTACGCCTCCATATTCCGTTCTCACAGACCGCTCCAAATATCTTGCGTAGCACCTTTCTTTCAAAAATGGATAGAGCGGATTCATCTGTTTTCGTTAGCGTCCATGCCTCTGATCCGTATGTGAGAACGGGGACTATCAGTGTTCTATACAGCCTTATACGAGTTTTTTGAGACAGACGTTTGTTAGCTAAGTACTTTGATAGACCATAATAACACCTGTTTGCAATTATTATTCGCCTTTTTATTTCCTCAGATGTATTGTTATTGGGGTTAACCGATGTCCCTAGATATATGAACTCATTGACTGCTTCGAAGTTTTGGTCATTGATGATTAAATTTGTGTCAACATTTCCAGCTCTTGTGTTTGTGTTAGTCGCCATGAATTTGGTTTTATTTTGATTTATATGTAACCCCATTCGTTCTGCTGCTGCTACTAGCTCGGTTAGGATTTCCGCAGTTCTCGCCCTAGTTCTTGTTATAATGTCCACGTCGTCTGCATATGCTAGAATTTGGACTGATCTATTAAATATTGTTCCCCTGCTATCTAAATTAGCGTCTCGTACAACTTTTTCTAAGGCGACATTAAAAAGCTGACACGCCAGCGCATCTCCCTGCCTTAACCCCCTATGTATTTGAAATGGGGTTGACGAGTCGTTTTGAATTTTTACTGCTGATAGCATCTTCGCCATTGTCACTTTTATCAAACATATTAGTTTTTTTGGAATTCCTAACTCATTCATAGCGTTGTAAAGACTTGGTCTTAAGACACTGTCATATGCCGCTTTAAAATCGACAAAAATATGATACATATCTATGTTAAACTCTTGCGCTTTTTCGAGGATCGAGGATCTGTCGTAGTGACACCCATATTTATTCCAAATTAATTGGATCAACGGTTTCTGGCGCTCTGCCATTGGACCTTGCACGATAGCCTATGCTCAATTCCGGATAATACCATTGGCTGCAATTATGTTGCCATTTAACCAATGGTAAATTCGAAATTGAGCATCAAATTTGGGAAGTGCCATTGGCTGCAATTACTGCTGCAATTTGACCAATCGCAAAGCCCGAAATTTGGTATTGGCGACACTTATATAAAAACTCTGTTCGTTGTTTTTTAATATAATATTTTAATAATCCTTCTTTACTTTGTCTTAGACTGTTACTAGATTGTTAAGATTTACTGAACATAGATCCTTTTTTGTTTTCTGTTCTGTCTTTTGCCTCAAGTACGGCTAATACTGCTCTATCAATTTTGTGGTTTACTGATTCACATACGAGTATTTCCTCTTTTGTGCTGTGTATATCTTTGTCAAATTCTTAAGTTAAGCGTAGTTTGTACAATAAACTAGTTACTCGTAAGCTACCTACGTTATATTTATTTATAGCTTCCCCTTGTTGTTGTTGCTGTTGTTGTTGTTGTTGTTGTTATTTTGTTTCTCGTTATTAGTTACGTTTATTTTATTTAACGGGTGCGTTTACTAATATATAATAATTTTATTAATTTATGTCAACAAAAAAATCAATTTATTATTCCCAATGAATGTTGTTTTAGATTTATATTCATATACAAAGTACCATTGTCGTTAGCTACATCTTTACAGTATTGTATAATTATTATACTCTTTAGTGTAGGTTTCTAATTTAATAACAATTTTAAGATAATGAATACATTCTTTTAGTATTTGGGTAAATGGTATGAACAACAAAAGTATCCAATCATCTGGGAACTGGGAGGCAAGTGCATTACTGCCAACTACTCTTTAAACAGTGATGGTACAGTGAAAGTTTACAATCAACAAACAGATATATTGTAAGTATGACAATAAACTTTATGTATTTTATTTTAAAAAATATTCAGTTACAAAAAAATACAATTAATCTAAACTGTTAACTAAAATCAATATTTAAATGATAAAATATCCAAACAGTTAAATTGTTCGAAAAAGGTAAAATCATAGATATGACGGAATACTTGTATTATTAGCAAAAAAAGTTCAAAAATTTAACATACATCTAAAATATATATGAGGAGATTATACATTTTCAAAAGAGGTGTTTATAACTTCTTAAAAAAATTGTGGATAAGAAAGTAGCTTTCTTCCTTAGCTTAGATATACTAATACAACAGAAATGAAAAAAGTTATGAAGCAAATAGGAAAAAGTAAAATTGATCTGAAGAAAAGAAACGAGAATACTGGAAAATGAAGTTACAAAACATGGAAAATCATATGATAAACAAATAGATTAAGACTTTTTACCAAAAAGTCATAGTCAATAAAGCTATGGGTCCCAGAATCGCATGATTCTGCAGAACTAAAGAACGTAGGTTAGCAAGATAATTAATTAAAGAGGTGGTCAGAATACTTTGAGGAACTGCTGAGCCTAGAGGAAAATACCAACAAAATGTAACCACATACCGGACCAGACTAAAGCACTGATAAGGCTGAAATAGACAATTATCAGATCAGGGGATAAAGTAAATAATAAAGCAGCTGAAGAATAACAAGAGTCCAGGAGAAAACGGTATAATAGCAGAAATATTCAATGAAGGTGGACAGCTATTGCTCATTCAAATAACTAACCTTATAAAACGAATTTGGAAAAATGAGAAATTACCACAAGGCTGGATAAATGCAGCACAACTTTCAAAATAATTAAAAAATCAAATGAATATATGACTGCAATCTGAACGAATCTCATTGGCCATTGTTTTGTTTTATTTTAAAATTAATGGTACAAAATTAAAATGCTACACTTAGTAACATACTCAAAAAAGCTAAAAATAAACTCTCAATAAAAAATGATAAAAGTTACTATCCCTAACAGCAAAAAAACATTATCATTATGAAATATTGCACTCACCTAATAAAATAAAAGGGCTGGATGATGATGAACTTCTATAAGTGGTTTGAATGTAGGTGTTATCCATGCTAAGCATAAGAGAAGCGTAATAAGGTAAATCAGTAAGCTTGAGAACTGCCATAAGAGCGTAAGTGATTCATTAGCTGTCTAATACGTTTATTCCCATTCATGATGCAATTTATACGGTCTGTTAGTAGTTTTTTACTTTCTTACTACGGTTGCTATGATCAACCGCAATGATTTTATGACCAGGAATTATTTTTGTACAATATTTCTTGGATGTGTGTTGATTGACTTTTACTATACATTTTTTATATTAAATTATATATAACCCCATGAAATTTTTAGGACAAATGAAAAAAAGGATATAATAGGAGAAGCAAAAATTGATTCTGATAAAGGAGAAGCTAAATTGTTGGTTACATTCCATAATCCAGGTCAGTATATTTCATTAAGCTAAAAGAGTAGAAATGAATCCGCTTTCCAACTCTTCTTTTTGGGAAATAAACACTTTCTTATTAAATGAAATGAGGTTGAATGCTCGAATAAATGAACTTTAAAAATAAGGCTATTATCAAGCACAAGTTAATTAAAATTATTACAATTTAACGAAATTGTGAGCCCAAAATCAATAAAATTTTCTCAATTTGAGGGAGTTAGAAATGAAGACTTAAGACGAAGAACAGAAGTTACCGATGTAATTTCCCGAATTGCCACACTGAAATAAAACTGGGTCGGACACGTCGCCCGAATTAGTGATAAAAGTGGACGAAGAGATTGCTTGAGTCGAGGCTAGGTTAGACAAAAGAAGTAGAGGAAGACCACATTCTACGCTTGCCGGATAGTTCACATTTTGACGAAATGCCCCCTGAAGATGCTATTTTAAGCGAAAGTACTTGGGCTAGATTTAATTAACTTGTGCTCGATAATAGCCTTATTTTTAAAGTTTACTTTCTTATTAAACTAACACAAAAAGAGAATATATTTATTTGGTGCTCACAAAGGACTATCGATCGGAGTCTTTTGGTCTTTACACCACACATTTTGATATATTTTAAATAAGTTTTTTAATTTGTTTATGGTTATTAAATATTCTGATTTCTGCAATATGTATGCATTTTTCAGTTTTTTTAAATTATTTTAGGTTTTAGTTATTATTATTAGTTAGTAATTATTTTCGTTTGTAGTTTACTGACTCGCTTTCTCATAAATTTGAGTCATTCCAGCTTATTGTCCCTAATATCATATACTGCAAGCATTTTCATTTATTTCCCTATTACCATATATTATCAGGGATAGGCGTCTCGCTTAAACTAGGAAGAAGAAAAAAAGGCCTGATCCTCAATACCATATAATATTATTAATTCTCCAGGATCATTCCAGATACAAAATTGTCATAATTTATTTAAGACACCCATCTACAAATAAATATTCAATATATTCTTTCATGGGCCATTTTCCATGGGTTACTTGGGTACTATGGGTTTTTCCATGGGTACCACTTCCGTTTTTTTCTGTTAAACTGTCTCAGTACACTAGGTTTGGGCTCTACTAAGCCCAAATCATCTTCATAAATCATCTTCTCCTCAGTCCTAATCCCTTTTGGGATGTGGTGACACCATCAGACCTTTACAGTTTTTTCACGATTTCCCTCCATCCTTCTCTGTCCTGGGCAAGTTCTTCGGCTTCATGTAACCCTTGGTTAATCAATATTTTTGTTTGATCTAACCAACGACTTGGAGATCTTCCCCTAGGTCTCTTTCCTTGCAATGTACCCTCGACTATTAGTGTTTCTATCGTACCTGTTCTTCTAGCAATGTGTCCAAAATACTGCAAATATCTCTGTTGTATTTGTTTAAGCAATCTATCCTTTACTTTAAGTTGTTCTAATATCGATACGTTAGTGCGATGATCAATCCAGGATATTCTCAACATGCGGCGGTATCCCACATTTCAGAAGCGTCCAGTATATTTTTATACGCTTTCTTTAAGGTCCACGTTTCGGATGCATATGTGGCTATGTGAAAATGAGCGCCCTTACCAGCCTTGGTGTAGTGTGTATTGGAATGTTAGAATTTTTCCAAATTGCTACCAGTTTCATCATAGCTGTTCTAGCAATAGTCAACCTTCTAGGTATCTCTCTGTCACACGCTCCGTCATTTGTTATTAGGGACCCCAGGTATATGAAACTATTTACTACTTCAAAGCCCCCAATTTCTTCTTTAATGTGTTAAAGATTATTCCGAGCTCTGTCTACTATCATACTCTTTGTCTTAATCCTATTTAGCTTTAGTCCATATGTTTTGCTTTTTTCCTAGAGACATCTCATCATGTCTTCCACTTCTTCTTGATTTGCCGCGAGTATTAAAGTGTCATCAGCATATATCAAGGTATTAATCTTTTGACCTCCTACTGATCCCCCTTCTTCCCTTCCATCCGTCTAGTTCCTTTCGCATAATGTGTTCGCTGTAGATATTAAACAGAGTTGGCGAGATAATGCATCCCTGCCTGACAGGAATAAATCATATACATTAGGCAATAAATACCAACGAGTGACAGCCATAATTACTTCTTCTTCCTCTTCTTAGTTCATTCGAGATACGCTAATCTCTGGTACTTGGCACTAAGACCTTTGTACCATACTCAGTTTTTTTCCTTTATACTCCAGTAAGTCCTGTGGCATCAAAGAAGACTAACAGTTTTCTTAATATTAGTTTTAGAATCTTTCCTGATTAAATCCTCAGTTGATCAGTGAATCCGTGCCTCATATCACTTAGCACATTGCAATGGCATAGTATGTATCTGGCAGTCTTGATTATTTTCTTAGTCTGAATTTATTCTTGAGGGACTTTACATTCCTTTTGATGATTTATTATCAGCCATTTCTAAACTTCGTTTCTTGCAGCATCTTTGGTGATGCCACACCATATAATAATTTCAACAACTTTACGATATCTATTTTTGTCTTAAAACTTTTTTATTTTTAGAATTTCCTGTCTGACTTATTCTATTCTATATTTGGGGTAATGGTTAGTACTATTTTACAGTTCCCAGTAAAGAACATACTATTTCAGGGCTTGGCAACCCTGCATTTACGCCAGTTTAGGAGAAAACAGGTCTCAATCCTTACTCTATTTAACGTCCATATATACTTTCTTCCCACACTTCGACCAGAAGGTCGTTAAATATTCCTGACGGAGTGCATCAACAACGGGCAGTACCAAGCTAAGGTCCATAGGAAATAATACTGGATCGGCTTATCATTGGATTTTAACAAACGGAACTGTATAAGCAAAATGGTTGTGATACTGCGATGCCATAGTATATATAGCAGAGGAATCCACTGCATTATTATTCCCAAGAAAGTAATACGTGATGCCTAAGAGAATGCCTCAGATGTTGTCATGCAGTCCGATGAAAACCGGTGCTATGTTGAGTCCGTGTCAAGAAGTGCGAATGTAAGTGATCCTGGGCATCGTGTGTAAATTCAGCTACTGGTCCACAAAAACTAAAACTCAAAAAATTAATTAATGTTGGTACCTGGAACGTACAAGAGCTCAAGACAATCACAGGTAAGCTGTCAATTAATTAAAGAGAGCTGGCAAGGTATAACATTACAATCTCTGGACTACCCAAAACGCATTGATTAAGAAAGGGACATTTTAGAACTCATAATGGCAATTATGTTTACTTCTCTGGCAGTAAGACCCAGAAGTATCCAGGTGTTGTCATTCTGATCTCATCAAAATTACGAAAGTCTGTCGTCGAATTTAAAGCTGTGAGCGCTGAGATAGTTCTTCTTCAACTCGAAGGCAAACCACATAAACTAAATATTATACAAGTTTATGCGCCAACCAATACAGCAGACAACATAACAGTCGATTAATTCTACGAAAAATTGAAAATGACAACTCAAAGAATTTACTGGGAACGTTTGGCATAAGTCAGAGAAACGAAACAGGAGACCAATTAATCGAGTTTGATACCGTCCATAACTATTATGAATACTCGATTTAAATACCATGTACGGCGACTTTATATTGGGAAAAGTACTGGAGATAGTCTAGAAGTCATATTGACTACATCCTCACTATTATCTATACAAACAATCTATACAAATATCTAGAGATCATCAATACAAACAGTTAGATCATATCCAGCAGCGATATGTGGATCAGATCATACCCTTCTCGTAGCTAAAGCAAAGCTTAAATTTAAAGCGTCCAACAAACGGAGAGACACAAAGAGGATAGAACTAAGAATAAAGGACAATATTCTTTAAGAAGTGCAAAAAAGTATACCCTTGAATGGTAAGGGTACATCACAAGAAATGTGGTAGACTATTACATTGTGTAATATCACCAATTAATAGCTCAAAGGTAAATAATCCAGTGAAATAAAAACACTGGATAAAGGACGAAACCCTTAAAATAATTAAGAATGGAAGAAATATATTTCAAAGTGGTGTACATAGTGAAAAGGAAAAAGCCAGTTTAAGAGATTTTAACAAAGAAATAAAACGAAGCTACAAGGCTGACAAACAACAGTACACGATCAAAACATTCAGCCAAGAAATCTATTAAAAAAATATATAAGATACATAATAAGATACTTTAAATGCAGAATTTGTGCCACAGGAATTCTAAGAACCAACAGAAAAGATATAGCAGAGACATGGAGATTATATTGCCAAAATCTATATAAAGATAATCAACGCCAGAAACTTGCGGGCGGGCCAGACAGTTCACTTTGGTTGACAGCACAAAATTCTTCCTTCTGATTTGCCAGATGCAAGTAACGCACTGCAAAAGATAAAAGTTGGCCAACTCTTCCGTTGCAGTGCGTTTCAGTTACGTTCCGTCAAGCGTTTACGTTCATTTATAAATAAGAGTACACAAAATTCTATGTTGATCTTTTTCCAGTGCGTCTACGTTTACAGTCAGTAAAACTATAAATCCAACTTAATACTTATGACAGATACTAAAAGAGGTAGGCGTACCATAACACTTAATTTCGCTTATAACTGAACTATACGAATACACTACTGAAATAGTTAAAGCGCTTGACACACTCTCAAACGAATTTAATCCAGAACAAGGTGACAGACAAGGATGTATACTGTTCCCACAATTATTTAATATATATGGAGAGCATATATTATGAGGACAGCGCTTGAATAATAAGAAAAGGGCTTCTTAGTAAATGGCCGAAAAATAAACAACGTACGTTTTGCACATGACAGTCTTTCTTGCAAGTAGTTAATTGATCTCATACGACTGGTTGGAAGTCAATTATTTGGTCCCTAGTTAAACATATCAAAGATAAAGATCATGATAGTAGATATACTAGTTATCATTCACACAACCACGATTGACCAGTTTAAGGTTGTGAGCTCATATTTATCATATCATAGAAGAAATAAAACGTAGATGCGATCTAGCAAAAGACTTTTAAATTTCGCGAACTCTAAAAGTGAGGCTTATCAACTGCTTAATATTCCCAATACTGACATACGGATGTAAATCTTGGACCCTATGACAAGCGGAAAGAAGAAATATAGACGCCACTAAAATTTTCTGTTGGAGAAGAATATTACTAATTTCGTGGACTGACCACAGGACAAATATTTCAATTTCAAATGAGCTAAAAGTTGGCAAACGGCTATCCAGCAAAGTCCATCTCCAACAATTAAAATATATTGAACATGTTATGAGAACAGATATAAAAAAAATGGAAAGACTTATTATCCAATGAAAGTTAGGAGGCCGAAGATCACAAGGAAGAGCCCCAACAAAATAGATCGATTAAATTATAGGAATATGCAAAAGACCTATGCATGTGTTAAAAGAAATGACCAGAGATAGAGATACTTGGAGACGGACAATACACGATATCACGATGACCACTACACTTTCTCCAAGAGGTCAGGATTGATGAGAGATTCTACATTTGACTTCTTGTTCTGATCATCTTATGTATCCAGCATGGTAGATATTTAAATTTTTAAACTTATTTAAATAATTTGTCTTTACTAATAGGTTTGTATTTGGAGTATTCTTTTTCGTGTTTACTATTGTTTTTGTTTTCTTTGCTTTAATGTTAAAGCCATATTTTCGACCCCCTTCCACTACCTTGTTCATCTGATTTTGTAGTTCTGGTTCGCTTCTTGCAATTAATACCGTATCCTCGTCATATCGGATATTATTATCAATTCATTAAGCTTAAAACTTTCTTGTCCCTCATCCAACGTGTAAAAACCTCTGAATACAGATTAAATAACTAGCCAATAAAAGATATACTACCCACCAACCAATTGTAAAAAGTGCTACAGGTGAAGATATTACAACGCCACAGGAACAAGTCAAAAGATGGCATGAATATTTTAGCGAATCTCTAAGTGCAGTCCCAACACCACCAGAAGACGCAGAAAACCTAATACCCAATATCCAACTGAGAATTAACACCAACGAACCAACAACGCAAGAAATAGAAATGGCCATAGAAAAACTGAAAGCACGCAAAGCAGCCGGCCCTGACAATATTCCACCAGAGTTGTTAAAAGCTTGCCCAGGTACAGTGTCAGAGCTAATCCAACCACTCTTGAAAAGGGCTTGGAGAGAGGAACAGTTCCCCAAAGAATGGAAAACGGGATTAATAATAAAGATACCAAAAAAGGGTGACAGAAGATATTGCGAAAACTGGAGAGGAATCACACTTCTGAATACTATAAATAAATTAACAGCAATAATTATAAACAACCGACTAACAAACAGTGTAGAACCAATGTTGAGGAAGGAACAAGCCTGTTTCAGATCAAACAGATCATGCGTGGACCAAATTAACACACTAAGAATAATTGTAGAACAGTCACAGGAATTCAACTCTCCTCTCTGTGTGTACTTTGTGGACTTCAAGAGAGCTTTTGACACGCTCACACATACGGCCATATGGAAAGCACTGCAGGAAATAGGAATACCAGAAAAAATAGTAAATCTCATCAAAGAACTCTACCTACAGTGACACAGAAAGCAAAATCCTACACAACGGCATAACATCTGACCCAATAGCTATGCTAAACGGAGTAAAGCAGGGCTGTGTTTTATCTCCTATACTATTTAACATTGTACTGGACTCCGTACTAACAAAGGTAAACTCTAATAGAGGAATTTACTGCGGATTAACAAACAGACTGGAAGACCTAGATTACGCTGATGATATATGCCTCCTAGCACATACAAAACAGGACATGCAACTCCAAGTAAACAAAGTACAAGAAGAATCAAAGAAGGTTGGTCTAGAAATAAACACCAACAAAACCAAAGAAATGCGATTTGGTACCAGAAACAACCAACCTATTATGATCAACGACCAGAAAATTGAGAGAGTAACGGAATTTGTATATCTGGGCAGCATAATTGACTGTAATGGGGGTACAGAGCGTGATGTACATGAAAGAATAAATAAGGCTCGCAACGCCTACAACATGCTTAACAACATATGGAAATCCAGGATTTACCCAACTAAAACGAAACTAAAAATCTTCAACACAAATGTAAAAGCTGTATTACTGTATGGCTGCGAAACGTGGAAGATATAAGCACCCATAGTACACCAACTACAAGTTTTCATCAATAGAGCGTTACGAAAAATCCTTTGTATATTTTGGCCTAACCGAATCTCCAATGAAAATTTATGAAACCAAAGCAACCAATAAAATGTCATAAAGCAAATAAGGCGAAGAAAATGGAGATGGCTGGGCCACACACTCCGTAGACCGCCAAATGACATTGCCAGGACAGCGCTGGATTGGAATCCCCAAGGCCGACGGAAATTAGGCAGACCTAAGGGAACTTGGAGAAGGACAGTACTGGACGATGGGAGAACAATGGGAAAATCCTGGCTTGAAATCAAAGCACTAGCCAGAAATAGAGTTCGCTGGAGACACTTTGTGAAAGCCCTATGTTCCTCTTAGGAATCTTGGGACTATATATATATATATATATATATATATATATATATATATATATATATATATATACAGATTAAATAACAATGGCGGGAGTATACAACCTTGTCTAACTCCACCTAGGATTTTTGTGGTCTTAGTATAGCAAATCTTCGTTTTATCAAAATTCCAATAGAAATCAAAGGCTTTTTCCTAATCTGTGAATCACGAATGTGTATCTTTTTGCCACCTTTTTGCTATTGTACCCATAGCGTTTCTGCAACCAAATTGTTCTGGGTCCATGTCCTCTTTGCAATTTTTGTAAATTCTTTTGGGAATTGTTTTCAAAAATAACTTTATCATATGGGACATGAAACTTATCATTTGAAAGTCAGTTATATTTTTTGACCATGTTAGATTTAGCGAGGGATACAAACATAGATGTTAGCTAATTTTGTGGAGTTTTGCAAGTTTTGTATATATTATGGAACATTTTTACAAGATCTAAGATGTCTTCCTGGTGGGTTCTAGCTAAAATGAGCAAATGTGTAATTGTACTTTGCATAATCATTGGTCTTGGTATATCGTTACGGATTTTTAATGTTGTATTCAAAGAACCATTTACTAGTTTTTTCACCCATAGCCTTCTACCTACTAGTAAACTTGGATTGCTTCTACCGGCAATCATACGGTTATCCGAGTTTCATCAGTGATCTACCTCAATAATTACCAAAGTATGGTAGTAAGTAAAACTGCTTCGTTCCTGTCTCCTAGTATCCAATATTGCACCAGTCCATGATCAATTCCTATTCGCCACAACTTCTAACTGGAAATTCTGTTTATCAATACCAGGAATATCCAGGAATATTCCGTAATATGTTTCAATCTGTTGTTCATAATTTTACGACTAAGAAAAAAATAAAAGAGAAAGAAGAAGAAAATTATAATAAATGCATATTTAGTGTTGACTTTCAGTTGACTTCTTGTTTATATATTTCAGCTTTTTAAAAGAAGTATGTATTAAATAACATAAGTTTTTTTTTTACAGAGGTAACAGCTCCTTACTGGGTTCTTAGTACCGACTATGAAAATTATTCTGTGGTGCTCTCATGTGATAAAGCTTTTGGTATAACTGCAGGTAAATTAAAAAATATTAAAAAATAATATATATATATATATATATATATATATATATATATATATATATATATATATATTATTTGAGTTTAGTTCTTGAACCTTAATATATATTTTTTAGTGGATTCTCTTGGGCTTAGGTTCATAAAAAAAAATTTAGTTTGATACTAAGACATTTTTATATATTTTTTTTCCGACATTTCGGCAGGAAATCCATGCCTTTTTTAAGAACATATATTGACTAAATAAAAAAACATTTTATGATAGACATAATACGGTTTAAAAAATAAACTTTTAACTTACCAAGCATGTAAAGATTCGATATTAACAATTAGACGTCACAATTAAAATATTAAAACATAGGACATACCCACTAAGTCACTACAAGTAAAATGTATTTTAAATCTAATGTGTTGTTTATTGATGTTAGTTTATCGTTTAAACAATCAGTTATTTTAACATCATAGGCGTTCTGAGATTGACTTTTTATGTGTTTTTAAATTAAGTTAAAATATATTTTGTTCAAATTTTTGACATCTTTTTTATCATGTATTGCGTTATTATTATTTTTTTATTTGTATAGACTCTAGAAGCTCTCTCTTCTTCCTGTGGTTTCACTTTTTAGGATCTTGGTTTGCTCAAAATCAAATTTATGTTTTTTTTTCGTTTTCATGTTTTGTGAGGGCGATTGAGTTTTTTTTGTCATATTTGTGGGAACGTATTCTTGAATTAAGTAGTTGACTGGTTTGTCCAATATAAACTCTATCACAATTCGAACAGGGAATTTCATATACAAAATGCAATCTTTTTAATAGAGGGGTTTTTGTTTTCAAGCTTGTAAAATTCCTTTTCAAAAGATTGTGACCTTTATGAGCAACCGTAATATTATGTTTAGACAGAAGATTTGCTATTTGTTCTGATAATCCTTTTATATAGGGGAGAGACATATAGTTTTTCTTTACCGTGTTGGTTTCATTGTTATTATTGTTATTGTAAAATTTATGCAGTCGCGATTTGAAAGTGTTGTCGATAAGGTGGTGTGGGTATGAATTAAGTGTTAGTGCTGTTTTTGCTTTTTTTAATGGCCTGAGGTCTATTGATAGGATCGGATAAACTAATAGCTCTATCAGCGAGTCCGATAACTACTGATTTCTTTTGGAAATTTCTTTTGGAAACTGTTTTTTTGTGGTATTAGCATGTTAAGTTATATTGTATTTTTTAGGATTAAACCACAATTGATTGTAATAAAAATACCATTTTAAATCTATTTTTCACTATTCAATTTCCACTCCACAATTTTTTTTAAAACTTGTTTAATAACGAGGTATTTTAACCTGTAATTGTTTTTTAATTGGCGTTTTGTTTGAACAATTGACTTACTTGGCCTTGCTTTAAGTTGAAAGTTCTAAGGTTGATTTCAAATTGCGATTTTGTTCTGTCTCCTTTGTTTATGTACTATGTATAATTGTAATTATAATCCATGAATGTTGATATATTCTACTAGATAGTAAATCAAGAAGTCAGCAACAAGAATATACTAGGATTAATGGATATGTCTCTGGCGTAGAAGACATAGAATATGAAGACTTAATAGAAGACCAGAGACATGTCATCTACAATTCTACATATTACATAAAGACATAATACATAAACATATAATACATAGAAACACAAAATCAGAATTTGATACCACCCTCAGAATTTTCAACTAAAAACATGGATATGTGCCTACAAGATCGAAGCCAAGTAGGTTACCTGTTAATTGGCTAAACAAATCGCCAATTAATAAGTTTAAAATATTTCCTTATTTTCTTATAAAAAAATCTTTTTTGAAAATGACTTCCGATGGGAAATCGAAACGTCAAATATAAATTTCAAATGTAATCATTTGCGATCAAGGGTATCCAAAGGCCTCCCCCCTTCCAAGAATTTGGAAATATATAAATTTAAATATTTGTAGTTCAACCGTTTATAGTTATCTCTAAATTTGAGATACATACACAATAACAACATTCGTGAAGACTTTGTCAAGTTCAAAACGCGGATGCTCCCCTAGTATATTAATATACAGGGCGGAATGTGAATTTGACCGCTATTTCTTGTGTTCATACCAAAGAATATAGACGCTTATAGAAGAGCAGTTCAAATGGGCCATTTGGTTATGGTTTATACGTCAAAACACTCCTTAAGAGGGTGGCTGCATAAACCCAAAGCGTGGTGCCGTGGCCGTCGGCTTAATGAAATATGTAGTTAGGGGGAAGTGGGAAAGGAGTACGAACCGAGCTATTTATGTAACTTTGCATCTACGCCTAAACAAATTTCGATGCCATTGATTTGCAAACTGTCTTTTTTTTTGTTTTTTCACAATAATCTTTAATTTTAATATATTAAATTGTTAAATTTTTAATTTTAAAACTTAAAAATGTATGATATTTACAATATTCAAAGTATTTATTTTTTTAATTTCATAACTTTGAATTAAAAATATTCATACACATATCCTACATTACGAAACACCGTCACATAACTTTTTATTATACTGTTTTTCTGCCCAAAAATTAACGAAACATTTGTAAAAAATTTCAAAATTTTTCAACCAAAAATTTAATTTTTTCAGGACTTTTCGTCAAACTTTTTAGATAATTTTTCAAATTATTTCATTGAACAAATGTCCTGTTCAAAAAAGTATTCAATGAAACTTTTTACTAAATTATGAAATTTTCCATTTCGCCGAAACTTCCATTTCATCCATAATTTTTTAATAAGAACAAAAAGCATTCCTGATTTATTTTTGAAATATTTAACAGTAACTTTTAATGAATAGTCTATGTGAAAGTTTTTACGCTGTATGGGTACTATTTAATCTTTTAAAATAACAACTAGTACTAAAACATAATTAACTAATAAAGGTATTAGTAATATTATTAAAAGGAAAAATAATAATATTTATAATATTAATGACATTCTGTGTATAACTTAAAATATAAAGCAGTGAAATAAAAGCATAAAAAAAATTGAACAAATAGATAAGGTATTGAAGAAAATAATCTAAAAATTGTTATAGCTGAATGTATTCGCTCCGTGCGTGACCATGGTAGGGGTACCTTGAAACGATGCCAGCGTGCTTAGCGGCGAAATATGACCTAATTGGACCTATCTTTTTACGCATAAATTTTATCAAAAATGTGTACAAATACATGTTGCGTATTTAATTGTGCTAATAATAGCAAAAATATTGAGTGTAGTTTTTATAGGTTCCCAAAGATTACATATAAATTAAAGAAAAGAAAAAGATGGATTTGTGCTATTAGCATGAAAAAGTAAATATCACATAATTTCATTTTTATGCTATTGAAATAGGAAAAATTTTAATAATTTACCTTAAATAATATTTCATAAGGCTTCAAGCTAACTGCCTGATGACTTTAGCTTTTATATCATAACTTTTATTATTATTGTTTTTAATTATATGGTCTTTCACGTGAAAAACTTAATTTTCCAGTACTAGATTTTTCCATTTCTTTTCCGTTTGGGTTGAAAAGATATATTATGATGAATTGTGAGAAACCCAGTTTTAATACTACATTTATTTTGTACATAAACTGAAAAAATATAATTAAAAAACTAATTATTAATAATTGTCAATTTCGCATGTATTTAACAATGTCAAACATATGTCATATGTTTAACCTGAAAATTGGGGGGTCCAAAACTGTCAGATGAAGGCGGTAGGTGTCGCGTGAGTTACGCACGGAGCAAATATTTAAGAAATTTTTATTCTAAAATTGAAATTGCTTTTTTACATTACCTATTGATGACCTATTGATAACTAAAAATTCTAATAACCGTTGTCGATGTGATTTACAAGAGTCGTCAATGATTAAAAATGATGGATTGATTTCATTTAATTTTTTTTATACCATTTAAAATCAACTTACTGACAATTTCCAAATAACAAACATTTTTAAACTTAACATCAAAAATATCAAGTGAAATATGTATTACTTCTGTAGGTACGCAAAGATTACCAAGTTTGTTAGTATTTTGAGAAACTTTATAAGCTTTAAAAAATAATAAAAGATCTGTCATTGAAATAAAATTAACATTTTTATGAACAAAATAATTTTCACACTTTTCACAATTAGTTTTTTTAGACATTTGTATGCAAAATATCCGGCAAGGTACTTGAGTGAATTGAGATAAAGAGAAGTTGAGCCAGTCGAAGATGCATTATTTGATACTCTTTCAAATATTGATAAACATTTAAAACTCGTTTCTGAAAGTTCCTCATTGATGGTCAAATTTGTATCAAATGATTTACAATCAAAAACTTCATTCAAGCTAGAAGTACTATCTAATTCATCTTCGACAAAGTCATCAACTTCCTTATAAGATATTATCGAATCATCATTATCGCTATTACAATCTTGTGCATCTGAAAACCGTGAGCATTTGTTTAAAGGATCATTAGAATAAATAGTATTCTTAATATTTGCATCATGTTTTTCTGACATCTCATCCCCTGCATCCATAAAAGCGCAAACCTCTAAATCAGTTACAGAATCAATACGTTTATTATTAAAGCTTATTTGTCCATCATTTTTTTCTTCAATAACTTCATTTAATTCATCGAATGATTTTTGTAAATCAATTAAATTCGGAATTGCTATATAGTAGCGTTATAGTTTCATCTAATTACGTGAGGAGGGTCATAATTAAAAAAAAAAATTTCGACCAAATTTTTCAATGGATGGTTTTTCTGGCGTTATTCCAAATTTTTTATCGCAGTTTGACTGCTACGGCCGATATCGCAAACCACACTTTTAACTTTAAAACCGGCTTCTTCAGAGAAATCTAAATCATTTAGAATTAAATTGCTTAGTTTTTTTCCAGGTACACAGTTATGGGCGACATAGTACTTAATAGATTGCCTCCAATCAGTTTGTCTACCTCTTAACATGAAAACTAAAACGTGATTACCTTCTGTTGGAGAGCGACCTA